GCAATCAGCACAAATAACATATATATTTATATATATTTATCGTTCAATATCAGCAAAACTTCTACTCATCCCCAAACTCGCCATTGTCAGTATGAGTGGACAGAAGACGATATTTAACTAAATGAAATATTGAAGCATAACCTAATGATAAATTATTCACTTAAATACTTGAAATTCAAATGAAAAAGTGATCAACAAAATTTTTGAAATCATTTTTTTGACTTATAGATGCTTTTTAAGATTATTGAAAAAATATTTAATAGTGCGCATTTATCTCAAATTACGTGCATATGCCAAAACACTAATCCGTATATACTCCAACCATGATGCTAAATGCTTGTTAGGCATGACTAATATACCAGAAAAGGAATAGATGCTGGAGCGGAGCTCGTGAGCGGAAGTATTTGTCCAATAGGGGGAGTTTCGTTATGTGAGTTGGGGGTGCGGGGGCAACTGCCTTGCGGTACGTTACAGGGGTAATTTTGTAATTACATTTTGTACGTTAGGGTTATATATGTCTTATTTGTAAGCCTAGAAATCTTGTACTCTTTTTCTAGAATTGAAAGAAAAGTTGTTGTTCTGCTCCCGATGACTTAGGCATATTTGCCGAACATCCTTAAATCTCTGTGTTTTCTTATATATTTGTGTTGATTCTTACGTTATTTGCCCTAAAATTCTCAGCAAGTGGTATTAGAGCGATGTTCTAGGGCAGAAGAGATTGACACAGGAAGAACGAAGAAGGATGTAGTGATTTGGCAGAAAAGTTTGGTTAGGGTTCGGGCATTTTATCGTAGGAAGAGCATGCGAATTTGAAAATCACACCATTCGACGAATTCCACAGTGGAGTTCGGCGAGGACTCCATTGGTTCGACGCAGGAAGGTTGAAGACAAGGGCTTTGGACGACCGGGACCAGAGTTTTCATCGCAGGTTCGATTTGCGACCACGCGATTGTTCGACGAAGGATTTTGTACAAATGAATTTGAGCGAGCAATTCTGCAAAAGAGGCAGAGGAATTCGTAGGAAAAGTTCGCGACATGACTAATTTCAGATGACAATGTCTGGTGCAAAATTTGAAGCGATGAAGTTGGATGGAACTGATAACTTCAGATTGTGACAAACAAAGGTAAATGACTTGTTGGCTCAACAAGAGATATTGAAGGCTTTACGGGCAACAAAATTAGAGACCATGGAGATGAAGATTGAGAATAATTACAACAACGAGCGACAACAACCATATGTTTATGTATAAAGATGAGATTATGTATCACGTAATGAATCTAAAATCTCTAAGAGAGGTATGAAAGAAATTGGAAACTCAGTTGATGTCCAAATCTCTAATAAATAAATTATATCTGAGCAAAAGCTGTATGAGCTAAAGATGACAGAAGGCTCTGATATGACGCACCTTGTGAATGTCTTCAATCAAATAATCACAAATTTATCACGACTTGATGTGAGTATTGAGGATGAAGTCCGAGCAATGATTCTGTTGTGTTCATTGCCTCCCTCTTCTGTGGACCTGGTGACGACTCTTACATATGGGAAAGAAATATTCAAAGTTAATGAGATTACTACAACATTGTTGGCTCACAACCAACGAAAACAAAATGCAGGGAAAACTCTCATGGTGATAGTTTATATGTTAAGGGTAATCAAGATCGTGGAAGGAAGCAAGAGAAGGAGGGTTCTGGAAAACGAAATTCCAGATTAAATTTCAACGGCAGAAAGACGATGCATTACTACAAGTGCAAGGAGCCGGGTCATATGTAGAGAGATTGTCCAAAGCTTAAGAAACAGACTGATGAGAAACGTGATGCTTCATCGAAGTCTGCAAATGTGGTGCAGAGTAACATTTGAGATTACAGTGATAATGATTGTCGGCACTATTTTTGGTGTAGGGTTTGTCCGTAAGAAGCTGTCGGTCATCAGAATTGAAATCCCGTTGCCCGCTTCGGAAGGACGTTTTTTTTTAAAAAAAAATTAGTTTTGAAAAAGATGAAGTCAAACTGACCCCATAATTTTCATAGTTTAGATGAAAGAGCACTTTATCTCAAATCATGTATCTATCCCGAAAGATGAACGCAAGAATTGAGAGTGAGACTCGATCAAATAAACTAAAGAAAGTTATGACATCCGTTTGGTCTGCGAAACCAATGTATTGGCCAACAAGTTCCCCTATTTAATATAAGGAATTAAATAGGGTTTATATTATGATGGGTTCGGGAAAAACTTCCTATAAGGGCAAGCCCCTATAGTTAATTACATCTTAGATAACTGAAGTTACCTAAGAATACTCTCGATAGAAATCAAGGAAAAATTATCTTCAAGGAATTCAAATGGTAAGGACATCTCAAAGATATCAGACTAAGAAGTGTGAAGGGGGATTGGTTCAAATTTGAAACATTTTATTTTGGAGTCCAAAGGAGGAAACACTAGAGGATG